AGCATTGGAAGACACATCTATCTGCCATAACCTATAGACAGAGTAGGGAGTTGGGTGCCTTCAAGGACTCTATACAGACATCCCCTGAGGTAGGCAGAAGGGACACAGGAAGCTCTGCATGTGCTGGCATCCAGATGACATGTCAGAGCGGGTGCAGCCGGGCTGCATCTACAGCTTTAATATAAATTGGCTGTGACGCCTGTGTGGGGGCCCAGATTTAGAAGCAGAGCAGAATGACTCTACTGAGGCTGGTGACAGGACCTACGCTCTGTTCCCATTGGAGAAAGTGGAGGGCGTAGCAGGAGGAAGAACTGCTCGGTCTGGCCTGGTGGCATTGTTTTATTAATGAACTGGATGAGCAGAGGAACAGTGATTTTAATTAAATTTGCCAGCGATATTAAAAGATGTCAGGAGCTACTGCTGAGGACACAGACACCTTGCAGAAGGCTCTGGGGTGGGGGGCATTAGGAAAATAAGCCAGGAAAGAGGCAGGAGGTCCTGGGCTGAGCCAGGATGTGTGTTTTGCTGAAGGAGCAGAATGGGAACAGAGGGTCCCTCTCTGTGGAATAGATCATGGCTCCTTTTTATCTGCATCTCCTCTGTTCACAAATGTATTTTGAACTAATGCTCCTTCCTATTCCAGTCTTTTCTTCCTTAGAGCCATCCTAAGCTTTTGGTGAAATGGATTTTTCTGAAATACAAACCAAACCGTGTTACTCTCCTGTTTCGAATCCCATCATTGGTTTTCTTTGTCCTAGGATAAAATCCCATCTTCTCAGCCTGCCCTAGAAGAACTGTGGTGAATGAATGCTCCCCTGCCATCCGGCTCCTTCTTCTGGCTTCCCTTCCCCTCACTGCATTTCCTGTAATCCAAGGCACACAGCAGCCTGGCTCAAGTCTCCATGTCTTTGCTGGGCTGTTCTCTTTAACTGGTGTGCCCTTCCTACTTTCTTTCTTTTTCTTCTTCTTCTTCTTCTTCTTCTTCTTTTTTAAGCTCACTCATGCTTGAAGGCCTATTTCAGGAATCATCTCCTTCAGAACCGCCTCCCCAAATCCCAAGCTGGCTCAGTGCCCCCTCCCCCGAGTATTTGCAGCTCTCTGCCCTTGCCCCCACACTTTGTAGGAAACTGTCTATTTTTGTATCTCCTTCTACTCCTACTCAAGTGTACCTTTGTGGGCAAACACTGTGTCTCATTTTTCATTTTACCCACTGGTATGTAATGGCATATCACAGGCATTTGTCAATATTTGTCAAGCTGAATGATGAAAAGAATATTCAGGTGGGTGACAGAAGCAGGCAGTCAGCATAGTCCTGAGCCTGGGGACTCTGAAGCTCTGTCAAATAGCTAGTGTCTCCTATGTGGGGGGGCAATGACACAGTCACATTTCTCCCGAGTCCAAAGCTGACTGGAGCCATTTGTGTTCTACAACAAAATGGGACATTTTAGTAAAACTGAGTGGCTAAAACCGTACATTTTATGCCATTTCCCTGTGTATTTTGGCTGTGTTAATGATTTTTTTTTTGCCTTATGCTTTGAGTAAATGTTTTCTCCAAAATGCAAAAATGGAAATAAAAATTTTATTAACTACATAGGGCTATAAAAATTACAAGTAGCATAACATGTGTAGTAAGTGCTTATACACAGCAATTAATGTTAATTGTTAATGCCTCTTTTTTGAGTTGAGTCCCGTTCCCAAGTCTGTGCCTTTAAAGGGGTAAGGAGACACCCTAAAAGATTAGAATCTGCCTTAGTTTGTGTTTGGGCCTGAATCAATGGCATTAAGAAAACAAAACAAGGTAGTCGGCTTGGTCAGTGGAGCTGGCCCCAAGTGGAAAGAGAAAGCAAGGAGTTTCTCCCTTCACCCCCGCAGACTGGTGCAAGTATTTACTAGCCAGTCACTTTCCTGCAGTTTCCTTTCGTTCTTGCCTTCAGCTTGCTAGCTTTCTCAGGAAATCAGCCTCCGATTCTGGCCCCAAGACAGGGCATTCCCCCATGACAACCTGGCACCACAATATGACTGCAGGGCTGAGGGATAACCAAGATCATGGCTGTCTTAAGTCTCCACTGTGTAGAATAAGTAAGAGTCCTTGCCCTGCAGATCAGGACAACTACCTCCATGATGCCCCAAGTCCTTTCTTACCTGTGGGTACCCATTCACTCAAGGATGCTACCTTCTGTCATGCTGTGGGCTCTTGATTAAAAAGTTGCTTCAGCTGTGCCCACATCCATCTCCTCCTGCATGGGGCTTATGAGAATCCACCAAGCTAGGAGTTTTGAAAGTAGAGGCAAGAAGTCAAGATCCTCCTTTGTCCACATTTCTCAAGGGTGAGTGCCAGACTTGTGAATGAGGATTTCTGTACACATCGCAGCCCCAAGACCATCTTCAAACTTTGGATGTGACACTGAACATCTTCAAGTTTTGGATGTGATGCTCAACATCTTCAAGCACTCTGCTCCTCCCTAGTCATCTCATGACCCCTGATCCTTCGGGTGAGGTCAAGGACAGAGGTCCCAAGCCATTGTTACGATGATGTTTAGTTCCTGGACAAGTGTGGGCCCCGGTAATATGAGGGGCAGTTAATCTTTAGCTCTTTGGAAGGAAGACCTTTCTAGTTAGAAAGTATATATACTGGATATACTTTGTCCTGGAGGGAGTTTCTGTCTGTGAGTTTTAGGATTTTAAAGAGAGCCTACACAACCTCTAAAACTGAAACATGGTTTGTCTATGAGGTCTTTATATACTTCCAAAGCAATTAGCTGTAATTTAGGTCATAAAAATAGTTTTTGAAGAAGGCTGATTGATCTCTTGTGAAGCTTTTTGGGTAGCAACATTTATCTGTTTCAAAAGCACACGTTTACTGAACACTGATAACACCTAAACAGGGTTCCACAGCAAGTAGAGGAGACCCAGCCCTCCCTCTCTCTTATGTCATCACAGCTTAATAGATAAGACATGAATCATCTCGTACTAGAAAGTAAACATACAATTTCAAAGTATTTAAAATGTCATAGAAGGAAAGAGCTCAGTGAAGGGACATAACAGAAAAGAGTGACCATTTTCAGCAGTCAGAGGAATTTTTGTGCCCTTGAGAAAGTGACACTTAGTTGATACAAAGATTTGCTATCATTGGGAGGTACAAAGAAGAAACTCTCATTTCATGCCTGAAGAATGGCATGAGCCAAGGTCCTGAGGCAGACACTAGGCTGTATAATCAGGGTGAAATAGAAGGAAAAGCCTTGTTGAAATGTAGTCAGAGAGTGACAGAGGGTGAGGCAGGAAGATAATGAAGGAGGTGGCTCCTACAAGGCTTTCTTTGCTGGCCACGGTAGGGAATCAAGGACTTATACTAAGAGCAAGGAAAAACAAACAAAACAAAACAAACAAACAAAAACTATGAAAGAGCTTCAACTAGGGGAGTGATATGCCTAAGTCTGTCTGTGTCTCTGTGTGTGTGTGGGGGGGGGGTGGCTGTTTGTTTGATTACTGTGATTGATTGGAAATACTGTTCAATGGTAGGACACTTCTCTAGCAAATGCAGGGTCCTTGGTTCTCTTCCCAGAACCCCAATATTACTGTGACTGACTGCAGGAAGCAGACTGAGATTTATTCTATGGCAAGAGTTGAAGTGGGGCTTTTTAGTTAGAAGGTCACTGTAGCAGGTCCATCGGATAAGGGACAATGGTAGCTTGGACCTTGATGGTCATGGTTAAGATCAAAAAAGGAGTTAGTAGGATTTAGTGTGGGACCAGACACAGAGCCAGTGGGAGAGGAATGCTTTCAGACTAACACCTGTTTAGCCCAAAGAGCTGGGTAGGTGGGGGTGGGGCTTTCAGAAATGAGAATGGCAGGGAAAGAACAGCCAGCCTGGAAGATGAGGACCTTGATGTCTTTAAGGTGCTGTGCAGACAGAAGACCACACCCCCACGTTACTAGCCACACTCCACAGGAATTTAGCGGCAAGAGGGAAGTGGATGGCTTGCCTCTAAAAAACTAGTACTTGGTTGTTTCCATTCCAATTCTGTCTGAGTGAGCCAGGGGGTGAAAGGACTTACAGCTCCAGATGAACAGATGCTCCTAGCCTCAACCCAAAATACTGAGTGTCCTTCTATTCTCTTCAACACTCAGTCACCATTCAGGGCTTTGAGTTCAACAATAAGGCTGTATGCCACCACCAAATACACTTCAGGTCTTTACAAATGTGTTTATGAGAGCTGCTCATATATTTAATAGTAGCGATTTCTTCTTCTTGGCCCCTTCCATGTTTCCACCTGGAATTCAGTGGCTGACTGATCTGTAGCCTGTTCTAAGCATGGTTTACTGGGGGTGGGGGTGAGAGGCACAGTGGACAGGGTCTGAGGCACACTTTGCAGAGTTTTAGTTTAGCTACAGCGCAGATAGCAGTCACTATGAAATGAATTTTATTATTTTTACAAGAAGCTTCAGAATTCCTGGCTGCCTCCAGGAGTGTTGTATTTGAGGAAGGAGCTTTTTACCCATGAGAGCACAATTACACACGAACCAGGTGTTCTGTATCAGGGACCAGCCCATCAAAAACACAGCTCAATTCAGCATATATGCTTGCAAACCCATGTTTTGCGCAGGACTCTTGAGTATGAAAGCTGGGCGAGGAAGACTGAGATTTCTAGCAACAGTGCAAATGGGAAAAAAAGACTCAGGGCATAAGGACTTATTTTAAGTTGATTCTAGGAACAATTGGAGTTACAGCTCAGGACTAGGAGGTATCACTTGGGTTTCCATTCCTAGCCTTGCCAGCTATTTCAAACCATTCTTCAACCAAGTCTCTGCCAGATGGTTTTTGAGGACAGAGAAGCTATTTGTGTCTCCCATTGACATCTATTTTTCCAAGTGAGAGACGGCCCCATATGTCAGTGCCATATGTCAATCGAGGTGAACCATCCATTTGTGTTGGTGGGAACCTGCCATTTGTTGCACCCATTTTTTCTCATGTCTTTTCCTGCCTCTCTGATTTTTCCTAGGTCTCAGGCCTGTCAAGAGGACCATTGGTGCTGTGGTAGAGCCAGAATCTAAGTCTCGTGTATGGCGTGGTTACGGTTGCAGCCTCTCACCTCTGCCTTCCTCCATTTTGGGCTGGTTACTTTTGTGCTCTTCCTGAATGGTCTTCGAGCAGAGGCTGGTGACTTGGGGGATGTGCCCAGTGCAGGGCAGAACAATGAGTCCTGTTCAGGGTCATCAGACTGCAAGGAGGGTGTCATCCTGCCAATCTGGTATCCAGAGAACCCTTCCCTGGGGGACAAGATTGCCAGGGTCATTGTCTATTTTGTGGCCCTGATATACATGTTTCTTGGGGTGTCTATCATCGCTGACCGGTTCATGGCATCTATTGAAGTTATCACCTCCCAAGAGAGGGAAGTGACTATCAAAAAGCCCAATGGGGAGACCAGCACAACTACAATTCGGGTCTGGAATGAAACTGTCTCCAATCTGACCTTGATGGCCCTGGGCTCTTCTGCTCCAGAGATCCTCCTGTCTTTAATTGAAGTGTGTGGTCATGGGTTTGTTGCTGGTGACTTGGGACCATCTACCATTGTGGGCAGTGCAGCTTTCAACATGTTTATCATCATTGGCATCTGTGTCTATGTGATCCCAGATGGGGAGACTCGGAAGATCAAGCACCTGCGAGTCTTCTTTGTCACTGCTGCATGGAGCATCTTTGCCTATATCTGGCTCTATATGATCCTGGCAGTCTTCTCTCCTGGTGTGGTCCAGGTGTGGGAAGGCCTCCTTACTCTCTTCTTCTTTCCAGTGTGTGTCCTACTGGCTTGGCTGGCAGATAAGCGACTGCTCTTCTACAAATACATGCACAAAAAATACCGCACAGATAAACACCGGGGAATTATCATTGAGACAGAGGGTGACCACCCTAAAGGCATTGAGATGGATGGGAAAATGATGAACTCCCACTTCCTAGATGGAAACCTGGTACCCTTGGAAGGGAAGGAGGTAGATGAATCTCGCAGGGAGATGATCCGGATTCTTAAGGATCTGAAACAAAAACATCCAGAGAAGGACTTAGATCAGCTGGTGGAGATGGCCAATTACTATGCTCTTTCCCACCAACAGAAGAGCCGCGCTTTCTATCGCATCCAAGCCACCCGTATGATGACTGGTGCAGGCAATATACTTAAGAAACATGCAGCAGAGCAAGCCAAGAAGACCTCCAGCATGAGTGAAGTGCACACTGACGAGCCTGAGGACTTTGCTTCCAAGGTCTTCTTTGACCCATGTTCTTACCAGTGCCTGGAGAACTGTGGAGCTGTCCTCCTGACAGTAGTGAGGAAAGGGGGAGATGTGTCCAAGACCATGTATGTGGATTACAAAACAGAGGATGGCTCTGCCAATGCAGGGGCCGACTATGAGTTCACAGAGGGCACGGTGGTTCTGAAGCCAGGAGAGACTCAGAAGGAGTTCTCAGTGGGCATCATTGATGATGATATCTTTGAGGAGGATGAACACTTCTTTGTGAGGCTGAGTAATGTCCGTGTAGAAGAGGAGCAGCTGGAGGAGGGGATGCCTCCATCGATGCTTGGTAGTTTTCCTTTGCCTCGGGCTGTCCTGGCTTCCCCTTGTGTAGCCACAGTTACCATCCTGGATGATGATCATGCAGGAATTTTCACTTTTGAATGTGATACCATTCATGTCAGTGAAAGTATTGGAGTTATGGAAGTCAAGGTTCTGAGGACATCAGGCGCCCGGGGCACAGTCATCGTCCCTTTTAGGACAGTAGAAGGGACAGCCAAGGGTGGCGGTGAGGACTTTGAAGACACATATGGGGAGCTGGAGTTCAAGAATGATGAAACAGTGTAAGTACCCTTTCCGTTTTTCATCCCTCCACAGCCAATCCTGTGCTTTCTCTCCTTTTTTTTTCAGTTGTGTTTGTGCTAATCCCAGACTTTGCTTTCGTCACAGGTATGCAGGAGCAGCAGACACCACTGGACAGGTCCTGCTCCCAAGGCCTTCTTAAGCTTTCTTTTTCTATGTTGTTTCTGGACAAAGAGTCCTGTGACAAGATCTAAGGTCACAGAACGTTTTGTCCACCGAAACTCAAAATGATGGGCGGTAGAGGTGTGAGGTGACAGACATTTCTATAAGATCTTGGAGTATGCTTGTGACCAAGCATGAGCTGGGAAAGCACATGGGGTTCTTCTCAAAGGCTATGAGTTTGGAATCTTACTATCGTAGGACAATAATAGTCCGGTCATAATATCCTCAAGAAAATAACTGGCATTGGTGTCTCTTTATTCGCCAGTACCACATTGCAGTTGTGTTGCATAACCAACTTCCAGACACTACACTTCCCATTTGGAAATTGGAAAATTGATTGAAAGTTAGCAATATCTATATGCTATTTTGTGGAACAAGGCTTGTTTAACCTGAATGAGGCAAGTGAATACATAAAGAAGTGAGGACAGAAAGAAGGAAAAGTCTTAGGACCACTGTTTTCTGCTTCTAGGGTCAGTTATAAGCTTCAAATTCTGGCTATGCATGGAAGGAGATTTCTGGAAGAAAATGTACCTTCTGTGTGGTCCTCTGTTTCACAGTCCAGGATTCCCTGAAAGATTTCACCACTTGCTGCCCAATTCAGCCCCTCAGAACCTGAAAAATGTTCTTTTGTCACCTCTTCATTGACACTCCTTGCAAATGGGACATTCTGCATCTCTGGTTGCATAGATAGCATTGAAAAAAAATCAATGACTGGCTTTCTTAGTGATAGCAGGGTCAGCTTTTCAAGGACACTGAGGAGGGTGCCAATGAGAGTAGGTACTGCTCATTGAGTACCTACTCTTCCACAGCAGGGGACAGTGGGAAGAAGAACCTCTTGATTCTCCTTGTGGGAAATGGAACCATTCAGAAACCAGAAGGGAAGGGAGGGAAGGACCCCATGGAAAGGGGGATCCAGAGGCTCCAGGAAAGGCATTCTTGGAGAATTTCTTCTCTTCTCAGGTCTATCCATTGGACAGCCATGGGACAATCTAAAAGGCTTAGATTTTGCTGGCAACAGCTGGGTGGCCCAAGGGATTCTGCTGCTGATTCTCCCAGTCTCTTCTGACTTTGGACACGTCCCTTAGTAACTGAAGGAAATCCTCATATAAAGAATGACAATAAAACTACTTTCCTTGCCTGGAGGCAGGGCCACATTATCATACACGTCCTTCCAGCTCTAAGATCTCCTGAACCCAAATGTAGGCATTGAGGGTCGGTCATACTATTTATCACTTGTTAAAAGAACAGGGCAGGGGATACTGACTCCTGAAGAGAAATAGCCATTGGCAAATTGATTTGTCAGAACACTGTTCAGTCATTTTTGCTGAGAAGGATGATCATTTATTAGCATACTTGTCATTTCTATATGCTCTAGGGGTAGTTTTCATACATACAAGTAAAGCCAGGCTCTCACTGGGAAGATGACTTTGTGACATTTAACACATGTACATGGTAATGTCAGCATGTGAATGTTCGTTCTCAGGCATTAGATGACCTCACAGCCACACAATTTCCTGTGATTGGCTAGATTTTGGGGAATTCCCATTCAATATTTATCTTCCATTGTCATAGAAAATTAGTTTGGGGGAAGATTAGAAATTGATCCCCAATTTCTTCATTCTCTTAACAATCAGTTATCCATCTAGAATATCTGAGTATAACTACATCTTCTCAAAACTTGTGTGTGTGTGGGGGTATGGTGTGCATATGAGTATATGTGCCTTGACTTTGGCTAATAAGTTTATATTTCCTTCTATCCATTTGCATGGCTGTTTGACCTCAGTATGATTTTATCCTTCAGTCTGCCTTGACTGCATAATAGCAAGCCCAAAGCATCTTAGTCTATTGCTGTACAGCCATCTGATTCAGGTGCTTTCAACTATAATTTTATACCCAGAGGCAGCAGTGCTTTGGAATAGAGGAACCACGGACTCTGAACACTTTTGATCAGAGGTCTAACTTCTCTGCTGACTTAACCACATGAGTAAGGACGTTTTTATTACCTACGATGTAATTCTCCCACTGGTGAAAATGGATATCTTTCTTGCAGGGTTTGTTGTTTCGTAGTGTGTGTTCAGTAAACAAGACTGGGAGCAGTGGCCGTGTGGTGAATGAGCAGTGTTTTCAGGAGATATCATTGAGGGGATCAGGTTACTCGGATCTCTGTATGACTGTAACTAATGAACATGCTCGTTTCTGGCCCTGTGAAGAGTCCTCATCTGAACTTACAAAATGTGAGAGCTAGACAGAGCCTTTCACCTTCTAGAGCACTCATCCCTAGACATTGTTATCTGAAGTGCACATCCATGGTACAAAGGTCTAGGGTAGAACATTTCCCAGGAACTCCTGATGGTGCTGGTCCCAACTTGTAAGTAAAGAATACGAAGGTCCTGACCAAACCATGAGACCTAGAAATGAAAGCAGCTTTTCAAATGACTTGCTTACCTGAGTCAAGAATGAACACTTTCCAAGTCTGCTTTCAAACCCAACACAACAACAACCCAACTCTTATCAAGGCCCTGCTAACTGCAAAGCCATTCTGGGAACTGAGTTTGACACCGTTGGGTACTTGGATAGAAGCTGGGTGATCTTTGGAAGAATCCATCTTTTGACTCCTTGTCTTTTGAAGCTTTATTTGCCCAACAATTATCAAGCCAGGCGATACTGGAACTTTTGCCTTGACTATGATCATCTAGGAACTACCATGCTTTATCAGGGATACCAAACCCAAGGAGATGGCTCAGTAGGCATGCCTTCTGTGCCACTATGAGGATCTGAGTTCGAAGCACAAAAGATGAAAGCATAGTGTGAGCACCTGTGATCCCAGGGCTCCTGGAATTCCACTGGGGCATGGAAGATGAAGACAGGAAAATCCTGGGAGTTGGCAGGCCTGCTAACCTGGTAGACACAGTAGAAAAACAATAAAGAGATCCTATCTCAGACAAGGTAGATGATGACTGACAGCCAAGATCTTCTAGGTTCCACATTAGTGTTGTAGCTAATCCACAAACGTGAATGCATATATGCATACACTAAACCCACGAATGTTTCTCATTTATTCCTTTAAGGGAGCATCATGGTATGACCCCCCACACACACACACTGGCAGGGTAACTGCATAGTGATGTCAACTGCATGGCTTCTAGAGATTTTGTTGTTGTTGAAACAATAGAAACAATATGATAACTTCAAAATACAAACAGTGCACCTTAGCACACTGCCTTCTCCTACAGGTGCTCAGTCATTCAACAACTGTTTACATTTACTAGGTGTTTCTTATGTGTTAGTTCATTACTCAGCGCCAAGGAGAGAGAAATAAAACAAGTTAGCATTTCCTCTCTCAAGAATCTTCCTCTCAGAAAGAATCACTGAATACACACAAATACAAACACACGGGAGAACAGTATGTTTGAGAAGGAGTCAAAAAAAAAAAAAAAAAAAAAAAAAAAACGGGGAGGGGGTAGGAGCTCCCTATTGTGTGTCTGAGACACCTCTCAAGTGTTAAGAAATCTTATGGAAGAGGGGTAGAAGATGCTGTGTGACTGACTTACTCCTCTATGAAATGAACCCTTGACATTTTGTAACGGATATTACTGACATCTTCATAATCCAGGAGAATCCCCAGTTTTATGGTTATCACTAAGAATTATGGCTTCCAAGTTTACAGCAAACAGTAACAAAACCTCTTGGAGATATGAGTTTTGCCTGCATGCTAATTTCACTCATTAAGCAAGTGGCTGGCTCCTATACATCTCCAGCTCACAGCACGCGTCTGCAAAATAATAGGTTATTGCAGCTCGCAGATCTTTGGGGGGTCTCTGGGACTAGTCAAAGCCACAGATGTCAAATATGCAAATAGCAGTATCTACTATAATTAAATAGCAGAGGCCTCCTTCAAGGAAGAACACAGTATTGGCTGTGTTGCACATGTTCCAAACAAATTATATGTTAAAGCTGAAGATATTTGACCTCTCATTTTACAAATTATGAAGTTGAATTCAAAGAGTGAAAGTGATTTTCTCAATATCACATTAGATATGATGGAAAGCCGAGGATGGGGAGGACATTAGACTCTGTCAAAGTTACTGTCCCCTTATGCTTCAGACATCTCTGTTTTATTTTTATTCACCAGTACAATGTTAAGTTTGGAAAGGATATGACAATTTGGATGTGAAAGCTACTTTGGGAGTGCAAATCTTGGAATATAATGTGACTGATGTCTTAACTAAGAAGAATAATACAGCACAGACTATTTTTAATCCCTTGGTTCACCTTGAGACTGTTCAGGAAGTAAGATCCTGAGCACACGGAGTTATTATTCTTAATAAAGGTTTGTCTTCACTGGTCTCTTCTGCTCCTAAGGTCAGTTTCTGCTTTTGCTCCTAAGAAAAAAAAGGCAAAGCATGCTTGCACAGTCTGATCTCCCTGGTCTGATCTTTCCATCAAATTCCTACATGGCTTTGTATGGGATATATGTGCGCATCATGCCTTTCTACTTTTGATTAAGTTTCCCCTGGCCCCATGAAGGAGGCAGCAGATTGATGATTCAAGTGTTGTTTTCTTATTCTTTTTTATGGGAAATGAAGCTGTGCTTCCCAATCCAATCTAAAGTTCTGACACAAAGCCAGGAGTGTGTGGTTGTTATCTGAAGATAGATTATTCGATCCTCAAATGCAGCAAACCCCTCAAATGTAGATTCTATGCCATTGAAGAACTTCTCATAAGAATGAAATGATTTGGGGGGTTTTCTAACCAACAGCACATAAATATTCTCAGGTAGCATGATAATCGTCATTTGTAGATGTTACGTTCTTTCCTC